ATATTGAATGCACGCGGTGATTAGTTTTGGCTATTTTCGTATTTTCGTGATTTGATAGTGTAGGATTAGTATCTTTCAAAACTAAGCCTTTATTAAAGAATACGATAAAACAGTAGTGAAAAGTACACGAAAATTTACAAATTTGCACACACGCACGCACAAGCAACAAAAATACAAAAAGTCCAAAAGTCCACAAATCGTAACCCGTAAAATCGTAAGCCGTAAATCGTAACCGTAATCGTAACCAAGATCGTAATCGTAACCGTAACCGTAATCGTGTTCGTAATCGTCGTCGCACACTCGCTCGTCTCTCGTTACTTTCTCGTCTTATTCTCTTCTAGCTTCTAACGCTCGCACCGCGGACACACCCTTATATTTACGCGACGATCGAACATTCTCGATTTTGGCGTTTGAACGATTCGCGAATCTTCGGTTATTCGAAGCCTCGATCGTTTCTCAACGTTCGACGCGTTTCTCATTCTCTCTCTCTCTCTCACACTCTTTCTCGCACTCGCACCCATAAACGGAACGACACGCTCGCCGGCAACGAATTTGCTCGACGGCGGTTTATGTTTTCGTTCTCGAATTTTCGCAGTACGTTCGCGGCACAACCGTTTCCACTGTTCTACATAGATAATCTTGAATTTACGATATAAAACTCGCTGGTTAATACTTTATATTGGACCGTATCTAATTCTGATCTCTGATAAAGTTAACTTCGCTTTTATACGTATTCGATTCTCGTGTTCGAAGCTATCGCAATGACAAAATTTATCTCAATTTGTACGATTGATTTGTATAAATGTTCTTTGACGATATTAATTAATATTAGCGCTTTATAATCTACTGCTGCGAGGAATTCGACCTAAGTGAGATTCTCTAAACGCACCTAAATACGCTTTCGCAAAATTAGACAGATTTATTCTACTATCTAACGCGGTGTAATCGATTACGGTAATAACGCTAAGTGAGAACAGAATTCTTTTATTAATTCAAATTCTTAGCAATGAGACTTCTAACTAGCTTGACTGCGAAAACTGTTCTGATTTTAGACGGGTTTCGCTCGCCCTTTTATACTCGCAGGTTCGCCGAATTCCTGGAATTTCTGTGACGTCAGAATATCTAAATTTTCATATAACTTCGTTATTATACATTAATTATAAAATCGAACGGTTTAATTATGATTTAAATGTCGCTCTTTAATTTCTGGCTAACAATTTGATATTAAAATAGTAGTATAACGGTGTTTTAGCGAAAAATACATTTTCTATCCTTTTCTAATTAACTGCGTACGAATTCTACGAGAGTCGAATCTATTTCGATTTACAGCTTTTTAATTGAAGAAAATAATTGTGGTTCCGGCCATGAATAGTTTAGTAATGACTGATTTTACGTATATAATTTGATTTAATTAATTAATTAATTTAATATCTGAAAATGCCGTAAATAAAAATAGTAATTCTATCCTTTTCTAGGATTAGCGCTGATCTCAAGGATTTCGGGCGAGTATCGCGGCACGTAGGCACATCATAGCGTAACGGAAATTTCGTATACAAAACTATTTATTAGAAAAATAAAATAAAATAATATATTATCTTGTTTTAATTATTCTAACTCAATATTCAATTACTCTTATGGAAGATATTACCTACTCTAAATCAAAATCATAAGTTAATTAATATAAATGAAAAAATATATATATATACTATTGATTACCGACTGTCGAATTTGATAGATATGGTAATCGATACATGACATACGGTCGATAATTTTGGCAATTACTGTCGATAATTAGCTATTCTAATCGATGGATAGAAGATTGTCGCGATGATGCCGGTAGAAAGAAAAAAGGTTTCCCCAGGGACGTTACACAGATGTTTAGGTATATGCAATTAAGCCTACCCTGAAGTCTGTAAGTCGGTGAAATTATTTTATACTTTTTAGACGCGCGTAGCTGAATAAGCTACTCTACCATAAACGCTGCCAGTCATGTCTCGTCACGGTACATTAGGTCACATGGTCACCGCGGGCTGGAAGGAAACTTTCGGCTAGCAAAATTATAATTTATAACTGATGGAAATGGGAGTATAGTTTTTATATAAGATATTGAAAACTATTTAATATAAATCAACACAACTAACACTATTTAAACACTGAATGAATTTATTTTGAAAACATGAAACAACTAGGAAGGAACTTTTTAAATGTAATGCAAGATCTTTTAATAAACGAGTACAATATCGTAATCACTAAGAGAACAGAGAAGAAGGAATATTTAGATATTATTTTATTTTAACATTTGAGAATCTCGTTTAAACGAGCCGTATCATATAGTTGGTAGATAAGTATACAAACTTTATTACCGATTTATTGGCAAATTACCGACATAGTTGTATATTTATTTTTGCTATTTTCAACAATAACATTTTTTCTTCCGCCGAAAATGGCAGGACTCGAGTAGGAAAATGACTCTACTCTCTAGTCTTTAAGGAGTAACGCCTTATACAGGAGTCGCAGCGAAGTGAACGAACGCCGTTCCGCAGTGATAAAACAAAACAAGACCGGCCTGGATTGCCAACCTTGCATTACATTACCAACAATAAAAATATCGCGGATGTAGTAGTCTGGAAAATAAATGTTATTTAAAAAGAAACGTAAAAGTCACAGAGAAAATTACGTATATACAGAACATTAAGAATAAAGTCACACAAAATATCATAAGTAATGTCATACAGAATGATACGAAGGTCACACAGAAATTTCACTGGTAATGTCATGCAGAAAATCGCGAAGAAAGTCACAGAGAACACACGTTAGAAGACAAAAGTATTCGTACACTTGAAATATAGAAATAAAAAGAACGATACTTTCTATGTTATTAAGTATACTTAAGCATGTATAGCTGTGTATTAAATATATAATATGTCAGCGATTGTTAATACCAATACTCCCCACAGGTTAGCAACTCTTGCAAAATTGCTTGACTTAAGTTCTATCAAACATATATGAGCGAAACTGGGAAGAAATGTGCGAAAACGTAATATAATACTTGAAAGAAATATTAAAAAGATAATAGTGAAATATAGAACCGGACTTCGTTGTCAATGCCCGATATATTACGCGAAGTAATTTGCCGGAAGAATTATCATATAAAATATTGATTTATAAAATTCTTGCTAAAATAATTGTAACAATAATTAAGTGTACAAATAATTCTGTCCCGGTGATTTCTTAAGGTTTCGTGAATTTCAAGTCATTTCAAGGTGCTACTTGATGTTGTTGTCTTCGGTTTTGGATCATTTGTCGCTGGAAGCGTAATATTTAATAAGGAGCTATGTATGATTAAATATGCAATATTTAATAATGTAGAAAATATTGTTCTTTTTTGTTTCTATATTTCCATTGTACGAATACTTTTGTCCTCCATTGTAGACTATCTGGGACTATATAAATTTTTATTCCACTTTTGAAATTTGTAAGGCTACCTGGACTTTACAGAAAATAGTACAATGTTGAAATTTTCAAAATACATTTATTTTTGTCGTCCGACTTCTCTTTTCCTTATTGCCTGAAAGCTCAGAAACTTAGTGCCCTGTTTCTATGTTTTTCCAATGATTTCATGGAGAACGAATCCCCACTTTTTGGGACAAACCCAACGACCATTATCTGCCAGGATCAGGATGATTAGACTCCATATAATTCCGTAAGCTTCCTGTCCATTTACTCCAACTTTCGTTTTCCGCCTGCGTTAATAATAGGGCCGTTGAAGACGACTATGGACATTGTCACGTTGACCATAAATCCCATCACTCTCTTTTCCAGTTTGACATAGGGATTATTCGCGTAGCCTTTGGAAGTGGAAGACGGACCGCAGTTTTCGTGTATAAGAGAGTGCGCGGAACATATAAGGGGCAGAACAATTTTAGAAGTAGTACGAGTCTTTATTAGTGTTGTGAAACACAGTAATTTTAATTTAGAAACAGGATTGAATACCACGTAGAATTCATTGCAATATTTTATTGTCACACATCGAAATAACTAGCTAGCAAATTGCGTTTGTTATTCTTGGAATTGCTCGTCAATTAGATTTATTACACGGTTGCAGAGTACAGATTATTAAATTATTGAATTACTAATTTGGTTACTACGCAATAATTAATACTCGTCTATTTTGATTGACTTCTTTCCTAATGTTAATCAAATACATGAAATTATATCTGATAAAAAATATATATACCTTTTTTTTTTAACAGCATAATTGTTAATTGCAATACTAATCCCCTTCAGTAATTAATTGAATAAATCTAATAATCGAAAGATATTCACCATATGATTACCACGTTCCTTTAGATATAGTTACAAAAAGCGAGTCGTTCAACAGGTAAAAAGTAGGCGCTATTAACACCTAAGCATAGTTCCAGGATATTACACATGCAACAACAAATATTAATCGGTTATTAATTTATAAACTGTTTATTGTTAAAACCGGGTGTTATTATCTTTAGAATTTGAAACTCTATCACTACAAATGCTCATAAAAAATGTATATAACAACGCAAGACTTCATTTGAAATACGGAATATTAGTTTTAGCAGGTGGAATAAAATTCTATTTGTATAAGAAAAGAATTAACACCTATAGCGGTATAGAAACGACTGAGATACTGTACCACACGTTCCCTAATTGTTTATTTTTTAATTGTATATGTACTTGTAATATCAATAAATGTTTATTAATATATAATTGTCTAATATCTTCATTTTATTACGGAAACAAGTTCTTATGTAATATTTTATTTCAGTTTCAGTAATTATTTGTATTATAATATCTGTGTGCACGATTACTTGGAATAGAAATATACCACGTTAACGCTATAAAAATGAAAGTAGAAAATATACATATTTACTATTTTTAGGGTGCTAGATGTAGAGAAATGGTACGAAACGGGCCCTTTCAACGTTATCCTTTGCTTAAATCTGCTGGACCGATGTGACCGACCTCATACTCTGTTGAGACGTCTGAGATCATCCTTAGCTCCTGGTGGCCGCCTGATTGTAGCACTAGTTCTTCCGTTCAGCCCTTATGTGGAGGTCGGCGAACGGGGTGATCATAAACCATCCGAATATTTACCAATAAAAGGAAATGGCTTAGAAGGTCAAATTGCGAGTCTAGTTGATAGAGTTTTTGCACCGTTAAGTTTGAGGTGCCTTGCATGGAGTAAATTACCATATCTTTGCGAAGGTGATCTTGGTCAGTCGTATTATTTTCTTGATGATGTAATTTTCGTTCTAGAAGCACATCCTACTAATAAGGAATGCTGTGAATTTTCAACAGAAACCGTTTCTGCAGTCTCGTATGTTAGGAATAACTAAAATAACTCACTCCATTTCCGAATGGATACACAATGATAGAAATCGCAAACTAGCGGTATAATTTCGCTTCCATTGTACTCCATATAAAATATGAAGGAACAATACTATAAAACCTCAACAGAGTTTTTATAATGATGTTAAATACGAAGTTAATTGAAAAAGAACATGAATTTATTATAAAAGTGGAAATGCAGAAGAATAATGTTAGAAGTGACACATTGATTAAAGTTTCTTCGGTAGCAAAAATAAAACCGTACATTGATTAAAGAGCCACGTAACGATACGTAGCCGTAAATATGAACATAGAGTAAATGAAAAGTACGAAATTTAAAATATTTTAACGAACGTGAATGTACAGATATCGCCGATATATGTAATATTAGTGCACTGTGTGTATTACTGATTACACTGTCTAACAAATTCTCATGTCTTATAGTTATGTAATACTAGTTAAGTACTTTATATAATTTACCACGCTGAACACAAATCTAGAGTTGGTATTCCTTTATCGGTATTATCGATATGTGAAAAATACTTACAAAATATTTTGTTGAGTTCTGAATCATATTAAACATACACATGTTAGTTATATCATATTCCTCATAAGCTAAATATTGGCAATAGTATACATATAATTTAGGCTTTCGTTTGTTGAGACGTGTGAATACGTAGTTAGAAAAGTCGTTACTAGTAGGCTATCAACAAAATAGCGGTAATCACCAGTATCGTAAATATTCTATTCAGTAAACGTGTACTAAAATGCACAAATCTCGTCCGGGCTTAATTCAATATAATAATATAGTACTATACGCATTGATACTGCAACAATATTTCTTGCGTAGGATGGATACGGTTGTTGTAAATGGCTCATTCAAAAAAGAAGTATAAAATTAAGATACGGTAACAAAATTCATTCTTTTTGCAAAAACACTATTTCATTTATATATAACTTCATCCAAAGAAATACCACAAATGTACGATCTTTAATTTGTCTGTGAAAATTTCGAATTTAGAGAAAAGATTTCACATTAAACTAAATCGATTTCACTGATCATGAGAATAAGCAGAGCGGATAGATAAATTACGGAAGAAAAAGTGATAACGTGTTTGTAAAATGTAAGCATATATTTGGTTTGAAAAGGGAGTATACACATCAACTAATTGAAAATAATATTAGTTATAGTTGCTTTTGTTTTTAATTGGTCCAATCAGCTATTTTGATACTGATTTAAATAAGCATCAGGCTGTATTTTCGTAGAAATTGAGCTCTACCGTGGGTCATTTTTTGTCTATTGCGTGTTGTCCGATTGATTTACATTTCTATATAATGCTTAAGTAATTTCTTCCGAATATTAATATTTACAATATAATTATTTACAATATATTATATAACACTGACAATGTACCATTTATGTTTGAAAGCGTACAAGCCATTACGCAATTAATATGCACTTTGTTACAAAATATATTTTAATAATTGTTGTTTATTTTTACAGAATTCAATTATATCTTATTATTCATTTTTTGTAATTACATAATTGAGCGAAACTATGTTCCCCAAAAGAATTAAAGAGACAACAGTGTTTTTGCAAGAAAATTGTGAAACTTTGAAGCAGCAAGGTATAACTCTGCAAGGAATCGTTCTACATACAAACACTTCCATATTTCTTACATGTCAGAAGTTAAAAAAATACGTACGAGGGACGTACAAAAAACGAAAAGGAAGAGAACGTAGATGAATTACATATCAGCGAAAAGAGTACGTGATACAACAAAAAGTATAACATGAAATTAAAGCCGAAAGAACAGTATTTCACGTAAATTTGGCACGATGATTGAAAAAATCACTCTACATAGCGTGATGCGCTGAAATTGCAATTTTTATTTCAACTCCAAAACTAACGAGTGCATTATTGAGATAAAAAAGCGTTGCAAAGTAGTCGTTATAGACTTTAATATGATTTACTTCTTGTGCCAGTAAAACAATTCCTCGCAAAGTTACAACATTTTAAAGTTTGAACATTTTTTTTGCAAGAAACTGCTGTCTTTTCATTGTTTTGAAGAATTTATATTTTAAAAAATTTTGAAGGAAGAAATTTTGCATTGTAGGACTATCTAATAAAGGGATAACTAGACGTTGGTATGTGTATGTCGATACTTACTTTCATTAATGAAAGGTCATTACTAATGGATTTATTTGTACAAGCAATAAGATACGCATTTTAGTCATATTCAGTAGTAACCGTCTCTAACGATACTAACAATGAGCATAATAAATGCATTCTATAAAAGGCAACTTCCAGGTGTTATGATTCAAAGACAAATTCTTATCAGTGCCTTTCACTTCTTACTGATTTCTTTAAAAAAAAAATTGGAAAATATTTATTTAGTACCTACAATAATGATCCCTTTTGCTTATAACTTTATTATCGCTAGTTTGAAAGTCGTATATTTTATACAAGTTATTTAGTATTTACATTCCGAAATTACATTGTGCATGTTGGTAGATACTGAATATATGAAAAGCAAACAGAGAAAGTCATGAAAATGTCTACCGAAATAAAAATATCAACGTTTGGTTGTCACATTGTAAAATCTACAATAATTTTTGTATAAAATATTTTATTTTGAAGCACAAAACATATCATAAGCTACTGACCTCTGGAATGTTATATCTTATTACTTTTTTATACAGAACGTTTCGAGTAATTCAATCTTACACGAAACAATACACAGTTTTATTTAAAGAAACAGTGCATTCAGCATACGAAGCTGGATCCTCTTATATCATTCAATTTTTTCTTTTACTTTTTTTTAATTTCTAATAGTTATCAAGATAGGAGAAATTGGAGCAAATTTCTATATTTTTCAGTTTTTCGTTTCTACGATTTTTACTTAAATCAATTATGTAAAAACGAATATATTAATATATTCTTTCAATTTTCTTCTTTATAATTTATGAGTTTATCTAATGAATACAAAATGTATTAAATTGTTCCATTCGAAAGCAAGGTGATACGTGTATATAATATTTTGTTTTTACTGCTTTAATTATTTTTATTTCTCGAAATACATTATTTTAGTTATATTGGTGATACAACATAAATGTAACAAATATGAAATAAATATCTATTTTTACATAAAGAACAACACCGAGACACATTGATTTCATTGCTCACTTATCATAGATTTTAAAAAAGGTTTCAGTCAAATTAAACCGACTTATTGTTAATTTTTTTAATTAACGATGCTCATCGATACACAGGTTCTGAGTGCCGAGAAAGGGTGCTACTCAACGCGAAAATAGGGTCTCGCACGATAGATATACTAGACTGTAAGCTAGACTGTTTAAATTGCTCCATTGAGAGAACAAGCTTATGTAACTTTTTACATACAGTAGTGTTTGGGAGATGTGAAAATGGTACAGGGTCTTAAGAAGCGGAACACAGTTTGCTTTTCACACAATATTTAATTTGATAAACGACACACTAGATATTCTTCACGTACACGTTACAACCAAGACGATAAACACACGAGAAAACAGCAAGTTAATTAAATGAAAAATGGGAATTGACTATATCAATTTCGGTCTTCGCTGAGATCACTCTCATTCGAAGTTCGGTTGTCTTCTAACCGGTGAGAGCTAGACGATCACCTGAATTCGGAAACGCGCCGTGACGTCAGGAACCAATCAGCTGTCGCTAATCCGGCGCACCGTGCGATCGGAGCCAATAACCGAATTAACGACAATGCTAACGGTAACGCGACGGACAAAAACATTGCCGTTGGATTTAACGACAGCAGGGTAGCGGGGAGACGAAATGGTTTGTTTTCGTCTTGAGGTGAATTCAGGGCCGCCTGCGCTCGCCGGTTACAATACGAAACAAGTAGAGAACAAAAGTATTCGTACAATTGAAATATATAAACAAAAAAGAACAATATTTTCTATATTATTAAGTATTGCATATTTAATCATACATAGCTCCTTATTAAACATTATACTTCCAGCAACAAATGACCCAAACCCGAAGAGAATAACATCATGTAGTAACTTAAAATGACTTGAAATTCACTAGACCTTAAAAAATCGCCGGGACAAAAGTATTCGTACATTATCATTTATGTCCATAAATACAACAATTGCGATGGTAACAGAACATTCTGATCAACGTAAGCACTACATTAGATGATGCTCTGTTAGTGTAATCAGTAGTAATCATGGCAAGTAAACTTCAACACTAACATTTGCAATATGAGGAGTAAACGCAATGAAACAACATTAGAAGAAGACAAAATTGTTATACGGTTATATGAAGAAGGTAAATCATATAGAAATATACCAGAAATACTAAAAAGAATAAGAAAAAGCCGGTACACCCCGAAAATTAACTACGAGAGAAAAACGTAATATCGTGCAAACTATTAAAAAAAAAGCAGGATACCAGTGCATCTGAAGTTGCATCACACGTTAAGGGCAGGACCTCGTTTTGGTTTACCTCCGAATCGATCAAAGCGACGATGTCTATGAGCGGAGAATACTGGAAATAAAAAATCTGCAAACTAGACAACTCGCGTTGCGTGATCTATCGTCTAGATCTACAAATATACCTAAACTCTATTACCCTATTCCTATTCCTATTACCCACCAACTTTTGGCAGAGACGACGCGAAGGCATCGTTTCTGGATTGTTACGCTGTTGCCATATCTATCAATCTACTTTTTAACGTCAGGCAACTTGTAGGAATACTGGCTCGAGCCAAGTTTCCTACTCCTCGCGGAAAGAGAGAGGGGATGATTAAAAATGCACTTGAGCCAAATGAAATATTGTAAATTGTAGTTGTAAAAAATGAAAAACTGCATTTATTAATTTTACGTCATATCTCGTTATATTCAGAAACGTAAAAACATATTGCAACAGCATTATTAGCGAAAGCGGTAGGACTCTTGCCTCGTAATAATCGATGGATGTTTTCTAGGCGTGGGATCGAATCCCGCTAGTAATTGTGCAACCTTCAGTTTTTCATGTTATGTTTTTAATTTTCTTTTTTGTAATATTTGTAATATGGTTGGGTTAGGTGACATTACCCATAATAGTTCCAGTATTATATTAAATACTATTGGATATACTATTATATACAATTTCTTGATAATTATTGGCAAGAGGTAATGTTTTATATTATTTTCTGTTATATAAATTCGGTGCAATGTAATTCCTTGATTACGACTATTAAAAAACGAATTTCCAAGAAATTGCGTAGATAAATGCGTAGAATCGGCGGCTACGATTCTTGTGGTTCCGGGTTCAATTCCTGACAACAGAGTTGCACTTTTTTCTCTCCGATTCCATAATATTGTAGGATTAGTATCTTTCAAAACTAAGCCTTTATTAAAGAACACGATAAAACAGTAGTGAAAAGTACACGAAAAGTTACAAATTTGCGCACACGCACGCACAAGCAACAAAAATGCAAAAAAGTCCAAAAGTCGACAAATCGTAACACGTTAAACCGTAAGCCGTAATAACGCTCGAATCTTCGGTTATTCGAAGCCGAAGCGATCGTTACTTAACGCTCTCTCTCTCTCTCTCTCTCTCTCTCTCTCTCTCTCTCTCTCTCTCTCTCTCTCTCTCTCTCTCTCTCTCTCTCTCTCTCTCTCTCTCTCTCTCTCTCTCTCTCTCTCTCTCTCTCTCTCTCTCTCTCTCTCTCTCTCTCTCTCTCTCTCTCTCTCTCTCTCTCTCTCTCTCTCTCTCTCTCTCACATAAACGCACGTACATGGGACGACACGTTCGTCGGCAACGAATTTGCTCGAAATGCTGTTTATGTTGTCGTTCGCGAACTTTCGCGGTACGTTTGCGGCACGACCGTTGTCATTGTCCTACAATATTATATCGTAAATGAGATCCGACGGTTCGGATAAATTGTGGAGAATAAAAAATTCTCCAAAATCTAACGATTAAGCAATTTTATTCTTGTACCACCGTGTCTATTGTAAGATTTTATTTTGCTTTGGTATATGCACTATATGGTATAAACTTATATTTAGTCTAGCTGTAAGAATTTCGGTGTGTATAGAATGAGATAATGAGTTATTTGCCTGAGTCCGATTGAATGCTGCGTAGCGTTTGCGAGAGGATGTTTAGATGATTGGTGCGAGTGTCGCGTTGGGTGTCCGAGTTCGAGGAATAATTCCGAGTGAGAATGCGTCAGCATGCGTGGGGATGAGTGTTTTTTCGTGCGAGTCAGTTCATCACTGTTTGCAGAAGCGAATGGTCGAAGACCATCTCTGTTAATAAAGTACGGAAAAGTTAAAGGTGGAAAATTGAGATTTCTATTTTCCCTGAACAGTTGAATTACGTGATGTGCGCAGTACAATGCGCAGTGCCATACCTAGTCCAGAAAACTGTACGCAGTTAGCGACAGTTTCGTGTTTTCATCGACGTTGTAAGTAATCTGGCCAAAACTGCAACAACATGCGACTGAAACTACAAGCGCTCTAAGTGGATAATCGTGAAACTATAATTGCATGGCGGGACATAGTTGACAGGCGCCGGTGTACACAATCGTATTTTCGATCCTATTTCTATTAAAAATGACAAAAAATGGACCAAGCCGACATCGTATCATTACAGTAATGTCTGGCTGCTATCGTTTTCAGTGAGTAAACCTCTAAATTTTGCGTAAACGCGAAAATACGGCGCAATGTATCTAGGAGCGGCCATCTTGACTGTTAAAATCTATGTCTGTCTCACGTATACGCATGAAGAAGTTTTCGTTTTATTCAAAATGTGATGTTTATTGACGTAATGGTGCTAAAGCTATCCTCAGAAAGTAAATTTATGCAATTTTCGAGACGTAGGATCGAAAGTACGAAATCGGGCCTCTCACTCGCACATCGCCTATACGTGCATGCGTCGCCATGTGTTAGTGTACAGGGTGTAACAAAATGTTTTGTCATGGCTTCACCAACTGATTCTACAGCTTATAATCGGTGAAGATCTGTAAAAAAAAGTTGCCGCAAAATTGACCTTGACGGAAAATTTCAGGGTCAAATGTTTTTTATTGCATCGTATAGTACTCACTCGATAAAACAAAAGTCTTAAAGGCACCATAGGTCGCAAATGAATCCTGCACTTGGAAAACAATGTTGAAAATTTCACCATTATTTCAGCGAATATTTCTTACGGTATCACATTATATATCTGTAGTAGAGTATACTTGTGTACCTGAAATTTGACTTTCAGATATTTCTAACATGTTCTACCGTTTAGATATGCTCACAGGAATGCCAATAACCACAGTTGTTTCTGATCTCTTGTATAGTGGATATCACATAGTGAGTTATGGATACAAGAAGAAATAGAAGAAATTATTTCTATCGGTATAATGTTTGTCAAATGCTTCATGCTATTTATGAAGCATTTGGGAATTATGCCTTAGCTCGCAACATATATCGCAATTATGTAGTTAATAGCGGATAGGAACATTCTCGAAATATTCCTGATAGACGTGATTTTCAAAGACTCGAGGAACCCTTTCAAGACTTGGAAGTCACTATCAATCATAAATATGCAAGGAGGAAGTCACTATCAATCGTGGATATGGATGGCAGGACGACCGCGCGTTCACTGGAGGAAAGAGGAGCGTATTATTGCACTTGCCTATGCTCATCCCGTTATGAGTTTACGCAATATTGCACGTCGGGTTGGTGTTTCTCATATGACTGTTCATCGTATTATTCAGGATGAAGGACTACGTCCATATCGTGTTCGGAAAGCGCAAGCACTTCAACGCCAAGATTACTCTATGAGACGCAAATTTTGTCGTTGGATGTTGAGAAAATTAGATCGCGATCCACAATTTCTTGAGAATGTGTGTTTCATAGACGAAAGTAACTTTTCCAACACAAGTTACCAAAATTCGCAGAACACTAGAATCTGGGCATGTGGAAACCCACACGCGATGATTCAAACATTTAATCAAGACCGTTTCTCAATTAATGTGTGGGGAGGAATCATTGAGAACCATATTATCGGTCCAATTTTGCTCCATAACTCCTT